CTGTCTCTCCAGGACCGCCATAATCGCTACTGTCTTCGCTATCTTGCGAGGTCCTTGCAACATCCCTCTGTCGTGCTTTAACTTTTACACCTCCTGCAGTTCCTGTTCCTCTTCACCACCTCCCTCTTTCTGTTCGATTATCTCGCTTACAGGATTCTTTTTTAGCAGCCTTTCCTCGTAACTCATGCCTCTTAGTTCTGGGACTAGTCTAGTGGCATACCTTTGGACAAGACTTTCATCTTGTGCTTGACAAGATACGGGCTCCATGCTGGGGCCGCATACTCCAGGATTGGTCTTACATATGTGGTGTACAAGATTCTGAATGATTCCTTAAAAAGGATCCTGAACGCTGTTCTGATGTTGGCCAGCCTCGCATATGCCGCAGACGTTATTCTTTTTATGTCGGCTTCAGGAGACAGGTTTGGCGTGATATCAACTCCTAGATCTTTCTCTCTGTCCGTTTCATTAAGTACTTCATCTCCTATTCTGTATCCTGTGTCTGGCCTCCTGTTTCCACTACCTAGTTTCATTACTTTGCATTTGCTCGGGTTGAACTTCAACAGCCATTAGTTGGACCATTCACTCAGTCTGTCTAGGTCATCTTGTAGCCTCCTACTATCGTCCTCAGTTTCAATCCTCCTCATAATTTTTGCATCATCGGCAAACATTGAGAGAAACGATTCTATACCCTCTGGGAGATCATTTACATATATCAGAAACAGTATAATTCCAAGGACTGACCCCTGCGGGACTCCACTCGTAACGTCTCGCCAATCTGAGACCTCACCCCTCACACTGACTCATTGTCTCCTGTTGCTTAGGTACTCCTGTATCCAACAGAGTACCTTCCCTTTCACTCCAGCCTGCATCTCCAGCTTTTTCACTAGCCTCTTGTGTGGCACTGTATCAAAGGCTTTCTGACAATCCAAAAATATGCAGTCTGCCCACCCTTCTCTTTCTTGCCTTATTTTTGTTGCCTGGTCGTAGAATTCAAGTAACCCTGTGAGGCAGGACCTGCCATCCCTGAATCCATGTTGGTGCTCTGTTACAAAGTTCTTTCGCTCCAGGTGCTCCACTAGCTTTCTTCGCACAATCTTCTCCATCAGCTTGCATGGTATGCAGGTTAGGGACACTGGCCTGTAATTCAGTGCCTCCTGTCTATCCTCTTTCTTGTATATCGGGAATACGTTAGCTGCTTTCCAAATTTCTGGCAGTTCCCCTATTGCAAGAAATTTGTTATACACTATGGAGAGTGGTAGGCACAGTTCTTCTGCTCCTTCCTTTAGTATCCAAGGAAGGATACTAAAGGCTATAAGCCCAGATTCCATCTGGGCTTATAGCCTTTGTCACATCCAACTCTAGTAAACACTTCTTTACTTCCTCGCAGGTAATCTCAAACTCTTCCAGTGGTTCCTGGTTAGCTATTCCCTCTCTTATCTCTGGGATTTCTCCTTGCTCTAAGGTGAAGACCTCTTGGAATTTCTTATTCAGTTCATCACACTTTTTTGTCGTTTGTAGTGAATCCTTCTCCTCCTGTCCATAATTTCATAACCTGTTCCTTTACTGTTGTTTTTCTCCTGATGTGGCTATGCAGCAATTTAGGCTGAGTCTTTGCCTTGCTTGCGATGTCGTTTTCGTATTGTCTTTCTGCCTCTCTTCTCATCCTGACATATTCATTCCTGGCATACTGGTATCTTTCTCTGCTCTCCAGTGTCCTGTTATTCCTATAGTTTCTCCATGCCCTTTTACTTTGCTGCTTAGCTAGCCTACATCTCTGATTAAACCATGGGTTTCTCATCTTCATTTCACTGTTTTCCTTTTGGGCTGGGACAAACTTGTTTGCTGCGTCCTTGCACTTTTGCGTGATGTAGTCCATCATATCTTGAGCCGTCTTTTCCCTGAGCTCTGTTTCCCATGCTATATCTTTTAGGAATTTTCTTATCTCCTCATAGTTTCCCTTTCGGTATGCTAATCTTTTGGTTTCGGTATCCCTCCTGGAGTTCAATAACCCTTCTTCAATCGGGTATTCAAACACCAATACACTGTGGTCGCTCATTCCTACTGGGGCCTCAAAACCGATTTCTCTTATGTCAGAGTCGTTCAGGGTGAAGACCAGGTCGAGTCTCGCTGGTTCGTCATTTCCTCTCATCCTTGTGGGTTCACTGACATGCTGGGTTAAGAAGTTTCTAGTCACCACCTCCAGTAGTTTGGCTCTCCACGTATCCTCGCCTCCATGCGGTTTCTTGTTCTCCCAATCAATCCTTCCGTGATTGAAGTCCCCCATGATGAGCAGGTGGGATCTATTTCTACAGGCAGCAGAGGCTGCCCTCTCAATTATAGTGTTAACTGCCATGTTGTTGTTTTCTTACTCTTGACTGGGTCTTCTGTCATTTGGTGGAGGGTTATATATTACTGCTACTACTATCCTTGGTCCTCCTATTGTCATGGTGCCTGCTATGTAGTCTCTGAAACCCTCACAGCCCGGGATAGCCATCTCCTTAAAACTCCATTCCTTTCTCATAAGTAGGGCCACTCCGCCTCCTTCTCCTACCTTCCCTCTCTTTCCTTATTACTGTGTACTTCTGAGGAAACACGGCATTCGTTATGATTCCAAGAGTTTTGTTTCAGTGAGTCCGATTACATCTGGGTTCACTTCTTGTGCTCTTTCCCTTAGTTTGTGTGTGTGTGTGTGTGTGTGTGTGTGCGTGTGTATTCACCTAGTTTTGCTTGCGGGAGTTGAGCTCTGCTGTTTCGGCCCGCCACTAAACTGTCCATTAATCAACTGCTACTAACTAGAAACTTTTCTTTTCCACACCGACATCCCTCCGAGGAAGCAGCCCATAACAGCTGTCTAACTCCCAGGTACCTATTTACTGCTAAATAGCGAGGGGCATGAGAGTGAAAAAAAACTCTGCCCATTGTTCCTCACCAGTGCCGGGAATTGAACCTGGGCCGCAGGATTACGAGTCTCGCGCGTTATTCCATTCAGCTACAAACGCCGTGTGTACTTACATAGTTTTACTTACCTAGTTGTGCTTGCAGAGGTTGAGCTCTGGCTCTTTGATCCTGCCTCTCAACTGTCAATCATCAGGTGTACAGGTACCTGAGCCTATCAGGCTCTATCATATCTACACTTGAAGCTGCATATGGAGTCAGCCTCCACCACATCAGTTCCTAATGCATTCCATTTGTCAACCACTCTGACACTAAAAAAGCTCTTTCTAATATCTCTGTGGCTCATTTGGGCACTCAGTTTCCACCTGTGTCCCCTAGTGCGTGTGCCACTTTTGTTTAATAGCCTGTCTTTATCTATCCTATCAATTCCCTTGAGAATCTTGAATGTGGTGATCATGTCCCCCCTAACTCTTCTGTTTTCCAGCGAAGTGAGGTTTAATTCCCGAAGTCTCTCCTCATAGCTCATACCTGTCAGCTCGGGTACTAGTCTGGTGGCAAACCTTTGAACCTTTTCCAGTTTAGTCTTATGCTTGATTACATATAGACTCCATGCTGGAGCCGCATACTCCAGGACTGATCTGACATATGTGGCATACAAAGTTCTGAAAGATTCCTTACACAAGTTACTAAAGGCCGTTCTCATGTTAGCCAGCCTAGCATATGCCGCTGATGTTATTCTCTTGATAGAGGATATCTATCTTCGGGGGACAGGTCTGGCGTGATATCAATCCCCAGGTCTTTTTCTCTCTCTGACCCTTGAAAAATTTCATCTCCCAGATGATACCTTGTATCTGGCCTCCCGCTCCCTACACCTATCTTCATTACATTACATTTGCTTGGGTTAAACTCTAACAACTCAAGTATAAGTATAGATGTCACACATGTGACAGGTAAAACTATGCTTTTTTGAAAAACAGTACCATCTGTTGCACGTAAGAGAAACACATGTTATACTAAATATCTTACGATTCCATTTCAATGTTTCCGATTGCATTGATAAATTGAATTTCATATATTTCAATTTATTTTCATTTTGATTTTATTATTTTCTGTGACATTACGATGGAATTGAGCTGTGTTGTTTACCATACCGTTCTTTCGTGAGTATAGTTTATCTTACTATTTTTTTATTGTTTTTTATTTCGTTTTTTAAACTGTTCTTATTTTTCAGTGATGGCAGCATCAGATCATTTGATGTTCTCAATTTTCTGATCGAACATCAGATTATTTGGGAATACATCGGACGAGGGAGTAGGGAATGTTGGTGAGGACAAGGGGACGGGAGTGGGGGATGGTTGGGAGGACGAGGGGGGACAGGGGAGTGGAGAATGGTGGGGATGACAAGGGGACAAGGTGGGGGGGAGGGGAGAATAATGGGGAGAACGAGGGGATGGGGGAGTGGGGAATGGTTGGGAGGACGAGGGGGGACGCAGGAGGGGGGAATGGTGGGGAGGACTGAGGGATAGGGAAAGGTTGCTGTGGCTCAGCAATGCACATGCATTTCTGAATGCATGGTAATTAATAAATAATACACAAACATTAAGAGAACTTTTGATTAAAATTCAATATAGATCCGACTCACACCACACTCTTTGGGAGGGGGGGGGGGTTGAAATAGTACAAAGAAACTAATGCGTTACCTGCACAATAAATTAGATACTAATGCGTATCAAAAAATAAGATATTAAGATATCAATGCATAGCAATAATAATCAATGGTAAAGAATATATAGAATGTTAGTGAAACATACGATCTTCTATTGAAAATCGACAAATAAATGTTAATTAGTATTCTACTTAATCAACAAAACTAAACGACAGCTTAGCTGTGTGGTGAAATAGTGGTAAGCGTGTGGGCGGTAGCGTCAATGAAACTTGTTGAAACAGGATGTCCCAGAACACGTGATTGAGGTAGAGGCTTATCTCCCTTCTTGTCACTAAGTCACAAGCCGAAATACGGGTAGATTGTAAAATTGGCTTATACGAATATTAACTTACATCTATTTCTTAGTGAAAATATGGAGGCAATCTGATATAAGACTCACTTGTTGATATTTAGAGTCCATGCGGCCTGACCACAAACATCCTCCCCGTTAATTATTTGCGATCACAAAATATAACAATAAGTAGGGACTTAAGGTCTTATTTGTTTGCCGAGCCGAGTGTCTGAGTAATAACGAAGGTGCTCCAGCACTCTGGCATCCGCTGCTGCAAGAATGACGTAATTACGCACTGGTAAAATTTGCACGCTTCAGACACTGCTTCTCTGCCAGAATAATGGCTGCCGTCCTCTCTCTCCTTCTCCGGTCTCGCCCGCGCATGTGTAATAGCACGGTGTGTTGGAACGGAGAATTTGACTCCTATAATTTATTCAACTATACGAGATAATGAGGATAAGGTTTCATTATAAAAGAGCTAACTTTTAATAAATTTTTCGTTATATAACAATATGAAACGAAATTGAAATAAACGAAAAAGTTAAAGAGCGAATTCTTTCCTCCATGTATATCACGGATAACAGTATGTACTGCATATAGTGATCCTCAGCACATATTGCTATATCATTAGATCACTAGTAAACATAATATCGGCTAATAATTATTAGGAAAAAATGCTAATATGAAGAGAGAATTGAACGCAATTTTTTGAAATGGAGAAACAGTTTTTCCTCGGTCGGCTCGCTGACGTAACTTAACCATAGATTCTAGGAAACTTTTGGCGTGGTTATTACGCAGTAAGAAATGTATGAAAATTATTACTCTGCTAGTTAGTAGTGTTAATAAAATATAATGGGTAGTACAAAGATCATTTATGAAAGTACTAAAAATGAGAAGTAGGTGCTGGATATGTCCAACAAGCACCTGAGTCACTGTTAGTGCCAGTGTCAGCACCTGAGTCACTGTTAGTGCCAGAGTCAACACCTGAGTCACTGTTAGTGCCAGTGTCAGCACCTGAGTCACTGTTAGTGCCAGTGTCAGCACCTGAGTCACTGTTAGTGCCAGTGTCAGCACCTGAGTCACTGTTAGTGCCAGAGTCAGCACATGAGTCACTGTTAGTGCTGGTGTCAGCACCTGAGTCACTGTTAGTGCCAGTGTCAGCACCTGAGTCACTGTTAGTGCCAGTGTCAGCACCTGAGTCACTGTTAGTGCCAGAGTCAGCACATGAGTCACTGTTAGTGCTAGTGTCAGCACCTGAGTCACTGTTAGTGCCAGTGTCAGCACCTGAGTCACTGGTAGTGCCAGTGTCAGCACCTGAGTCACTGTTAGTGCCAGAGTCAGCACCTGAGTCACTGTTAGAGCCAGTGTCAGCACCTGAGTCACTGGTAGTGCCAGTGTCAGCACCTGAGTCACTGTTAGTGCCAGTGTCAGCACCTGAGTCACTGTTAGTGCCAGTGTCAGCACCTGAGTCACTGTTAGTGCCAGTGTCAGCACCTGAGTCACTGTTAGTGCCAGTGTCAGCACCTGAGTCACTGTTAGTGCCAGTGTCAGCACCTGAGTCACTGGTAGTGCCAGTGTCAGCACCTGAGTCACTGTTAGTGCCAGTGTCAGCACCTGAGTCACTGTTAGTGTCAGTGTCAGCACCTGAGTCACTGTTAGTGCCACTGTCAGCACCTGAGTCACTGTTAGTGCCAGTGTCAGCACCTGAGTCACTGTTAGTGCCAGTGTCAGCACCTGAGTCACTGTTAGTGCCAGTGTCAGCACCTGAGTCACTGTTAGTGCCAGTGTCAGCACCTGAGTCACTGTTAGTGCCAGTGTCAGCACCTGAGTCACTGTTAGTGCCAGAGTCAGCACATGAGTCACTGTTAGTGCTAGTGTCAGCACCTGAGTCACTGTTAGTGCCAGTGTCAGCACCTGAGTCACTGGTAGTGCCAGTGTCAGCACCTGAGTCACTGTTAGTGCCAGAGTCAGCACCTGAGTCACTGTTAGAGCCAGTGTCAGCACCTGAGTCACTGGTAGTGCCAGTGTCAGCACCTGAGTCACTGTTAGTGCCAGTGTCAGCACCTGAGTCACTGTTAGTGCCAGTGTCAGCACCTGAGTCACTGTTAGTGCCACTGTCAGCACCTGAGTCACTGTTAGTGCCAGTGTCAGCACCTGAGTCACTGTTAGTGCCAGTGTCAGCACCTGAGTCACTGGTAGTGCCAGTGTCAGCACCTGAGTCACTGTTAGTGCCAGTGTCAGCACCTGAGTCACTGTTAGTGTCAGTGTCAGCACCTGAGTCACTGTTAGTGCCACTGTCAGCACCTGAGTCACTGTTAGTGCCAGTGTCAGCACCTGAGTCACTGTTAGTGCCAGTGTCAGCACCTGAGTCACTGTTAGTGCCAGTGTCAGCACCTGAGTCACTGGTAGTGCCAGTGTCAGCACCTGAGTCACTGTTAGTGCCAGTGTCAGCACCTGAGTCACTGTTAGTGCCAGTGTCAGCACCTGAGTCACTGTTAGTGCCACTGTCAGCACCTGAGTCACTGTCAGTTAGTCCCACTGTCAGCACCTGAGTCACTATCAGCTTCTTAGTGACACTGTCAGCACCAAGTCACTGTCAACTTCTTATTGCCAGTGACAGCATGTGAGTCAGTGTCAGCATGTGAGAGTCAGTGTCAGCGTGTGAGAGTCAGTACTCACCTAGTTGTGCTTGCTGGGGTTGAGCTTCGTCTCTTTGGTCCCGCCTCTCAACTGTCAATCAACTGGTGTACAGATTCCTGAGCCTACTGGGCTCTATCATATCTACATTTGAAACTGTGTATGGAGTCAGCCTCCACCACATCACTTCTTAATGCATTCCATTTATTATCTACTCTGACACTAAAAATATTCTTTCTGTGGCTCATCTGGGTACTAAGTTTCAACCTGTGTCCCCTTGTTCGTGTTCCACCAGTGCTGAATAGTTTGTCTTTGTCCACCCTGTCAATTTCCCTGTCAATTTTGTAGGTGGTTATCATTGTTTGCCCTTACGCTTCTGTTTCCCAGGGACGTGAGGTTCAGTTCCTTAAGCCTTTCCTCGTAGCTCATACCTCTCAGTTCCGGGACGAGTCTGGTGGCATACCGCTGAGTCTTCTCTAACTTTGTCTTGTTTAACTAGGTGTGGACTCCAGGCTGGAGCTGCATATTCCAGGATTGGTCTGACATAAGTGGTATACAGGGTCCTGAACGATTCCTTACACAAGATTTTAAAGGCAGTTCTTATGTTGGACAACCTAGCATATGCCGCTGATGATATCGTTTGATGTGGGCTTCTGGGAACAAGTTCGGTATAGTATCAACCCCTAGATCTTTCTCTCTATTTGACATTTGCAGAATTTCACCTCCCAGGTGGTACCTTGTGTTCAGCTTTCTGCTCCCTTCGCCTAATTTCATTACTTTACACTTTCCTGAGTTGAACTTTAGCAGCCATTTTTTAGACCATTCCTCCAGTTTGTCCTGGTCATCCTGTAGTCTATGTCTATTTTCATTTGTCTTGATTCTTCTCATAATTTTTGCATCATCAGCAAACATTGAGAGGAATGAGTCTATACCTTCTGGAAGATCATTTAAAAATATTAGAAACAGGATGGGTCCAAGTACTGAGCCATGTGGGACTCCGCTGGTGACATCTCGCCACTCTGATGTCTCCATCCTCACCGTTACTCGCTGTTTCCTTTTGCTTAAGTACTCCCTTATCCACTGGAGCACCTTCCCTTTTACTCCTGCCTGTTGCTCCAACTTTTTAACAGCATTTTATGGGGTACAGTGTCAAAGGCTTTCTGGCAGTCCAAGAAAATGCAGTCTGCCTACCCTTCTCTTTCTTGCCTAATTTTTGTTGTCTGGTTATAGAATTCTATTAAACCTGTGAGGCACGATTTACCATCTCTGAACCCATGTTGGTGGTGTGTTACAAACCTATTTCCCTCCAGATTCTCTACAAGCCTTTTCTTCACGATCTTCTCTATCATCTTGCATGCTATACATGTTAGGGAAACTGGCCTGTAGTTCGGTGATTCTTGCCTGTCACCCTTTTTGTATATTGGGACTACGTTAGCTGTCTTCCAACTTTCCGGTAGGTCTCCTGTTTCCAATGACCTGTTATATACCATAGAGAGTGGCACACTTAGTGCTTCTGCACATTTCTTTTTTTTATCCATGGTGAGATTCTGTCAAGCCCAACTGCCTTTGTCCCATTCAGCTCCAACAGATTCCTTTTGACCTCATCACTGGTGACGTCAAATTCCTCCAAGTTTGCTTCGTTTGCCGCCTCCTCATTTAGTGCAGGGACTTCTCCTTGTTTTATTGTGAAGACCTCCTGGAATCTCTTGTTGAGTTCTTCACACACCTCCTTGTCATTCTCTGTGTATCTGTTCTCCCCTTTTCTCGGTTCCATCACTTGTTCCTTCACTGCCGTTTTCCTCCTGATGTGGCTGTGGAGCAGTTTTGGTTGGGTCTTGGATTTACTCACGATGTCATTTTCATACTGTCTCTCTCCTTCCCTCCTCACTCTGATGTACTCATTCCTGGCCCTCTGGTATCTCTCCCTGCTCTAAGGTGTTCTGTTATTTCTGTACTTTCTCCATGTGCTTTTATTCAGTTGCTTCGCTACCTTACATTCCTGGTTGAACCATGGATTCTTCTGTTGCTTTTCGTTTTTCTGCTTTTGGATGGGGATAAACCTGTCTGCAGCGTCCTGGCATGTTTGGGTAACATAATCCATCATGTCCTGTACAGTCTTGTCTCTAAGTTCTGTTTCCCATGGTATTCCCCCTTAGGATTAAGTTCCTCATCTCGTCATATTTTCCTCTTCGGTAATTTAATCTTTTCCCTTCCGATCCCATCCTTGGATAGGTTATCCCTTCCTCCAGCAAGTACTCAAATGTCAATACACTGTGGTCACTCATTCCAATGGGAGCTTCAACTTTGACATCCCTTATTTCTGACTCATTCAAGGTGAATATCAGGTCGAGTCTAGCTGGTTCGTCATTGCCTCTCATTCTTATGGGTTCCCTAACATGCTGGCTACGTGTGTCAGTGTGTGAGAGTCAGTGTCAGCGTGTTGGAGTCAGTGTCAGCGTGTGAGTGTCAGTGGCAGCTACAGAATTGACAGTGTGACACAGCCAGCAACATCAGTGGCATTGTGACACAATCAGCTACAGCAGTGACAGTCAGATACAGCAGTGACAGCCAGCTACAGCAGTGACAGTGTGACACAGTCATCTACAGCAGTGACTGTGTGTGTGACAGTCAGCTACAGCAATGACAATATGTGACAGTCAGCTACAACATTGACAGTGCGTGTGACAGTCTGCCAAAGCTGTGACAGTTTGTGTCAGTCAGCCAAAGCTGTGGGAGTGTGACAGTCAGCTACAGCAGTAAGTGTGTGACAGTCAACCACAGCTCTGACAGTGAGCCAAAGTTGAGACAGTGTGTGACAGTATCAGGGGGTTGGGGACTTTCTATAATAAACTGGTTTTGAACCAACCTGATACTAGCTTACCGTCGAAGAGAGACCCCAACCACTCCCTGAATGAAAATATGACGGATCGCGACAGCCACACTACTGCTGCCATCAGTTGACTAGCAATGGACACTGGAGTGCTTGTTGTGGGAAAATCCGACTCCAATATTTTGTAATTAAAATAAAATAATTTGATAGCTGTGAAGGACCACCACTTTTGAGAAAAAGTGGAAAACAAAATGAGACAATGGATTAAACTGATACCAAGAACTAGTGTCATATGGATCTTAGTGAAACTGTATTTCTTAAGTAAAGGGAGTCAAATTAACCTGCACAAAAATGGGGGGTTACATGCTAAAAGATTAATGCATCCCTAGCATTATTCCGGCGCTGGTTCTTCGCCAGAGTAAATAAAATATGAAAGTAAATAAAGGTGATTGTATAATAAGAACTAGAGGTAAATGCACCTCAATATACTACTGTAATATTAAATAGTACAGTATATGGTAAATCAAAGGTTAGTATAATTGATCTCGGGAGATCACTAATATAACTACAGAGTTAATACTACGGAGAAACATGATCAGCTTAGCTGTGAAGCTAGAGAGGTGTAATCGGTTGTCACGATCCACCGACGGCGTGTTGTTTCAAGTAAATTGCTGCACGTGCAGATGGAGAAGCCTAGTACCTCGGTTGGACTCTGTTATAAATCCAACTAAATGTGGAAAGAATTTGTTTCTGCCTGTCGTTCCTCGCGTCGTCACTCTGACTAGGAAGAATCTGGCAATATGTTTAATATAAATCATGATGATGATTAAATCTACGAATTAGTGATTTTAGTGACTACTTGTGGTTAATACACAAGTTGTATAAAAATACAAAGATGTATGAAACTGTTGGTTATTTCCAACACTGCAATTAGTGAAGAGATCATCCTGGTAAGCGTCGTGTTCTGCGAGAGGGGTTCAACCCTTCCGTACCCCTTTATTCAGGGGTACGGCTCATATTGCCGTTGAGGTCTCATCGTGGACGTGATGGTGAGCAGACGTGTTTTGATTCGCCCTGCTACTGGCGTCTGGTGGGTGGACGTGTTTGTCGTCGCTGTTGGCCTGCGTGTTGACGGATGGGCGGATAACGTCACGCTGGGGGTGGTATATGTGCCGTCATGGGCTCCTACACACCTCCACTAAAGCGCAAGGAGTCCATAGGACTCAAGTTTAGTTGTCATGCTGATCCCGACCTTGTATCCACCACGATCTTCGATGTGTTACAGATCAAGCAGGATGAAATATTTGGTTACCAACCACTGCCAGGGAACAGGGTGGTGTTGAAATTTGAAAACAATGTGGCGTTTTCAGAGTTTCTTAAGAAGTATGATGATGACACTATAAGTTTACCTAATGGGAAAGGATCAGTACAAGTGATTAATTTGAGCAAAACGTTTACATACGTTTCTGTGAGGGATGCGCCATCTGAAATGTTGAATAGAACTATTATACACATACTGGAACAATATGGGAAAGTGGACAATGTTCGTTTTAATAAATATACCTATGGCCCAGGGAAAGGGTGTTTTAATGGAACACGAACAGTAAAGATGGAACTTCACCGTAATATTCCTTCATCAATGTCAGTAGCAGGTCATTATATTAAATTTATATACAATGGCCAAATGCAAACTTGTTTTAAGTGTGGGCGTACTGGTCACATCGCTGCTGCCTGCCAGGTGGAGGCATCAGAACGGATCAACATCATGAACATGACTTTCCGCCATTAATAGAGGATAGTGTATCAGGAAATGAACCCACTGTTATAAATACTGTAGTTCCAGGTGAGGTAGATGAAGTAACCCACAACTCTGTAAGTGAAACGTCTGTGGGAGTGACTCCCAGTGCGAATGAGGCCGGTGAAGGTAACTTAGATCAGGATGATAAAGGTAATGCAGACAAGGAGGGTGCAGATGACACTGCTCAGAACGATAATGGTAATGCAGACAACACTGCTCATGACGCTTTACCGGCTGTTGGTCACCCTGGTGAGGGTGAGGTAAGTCTGAACACTGTACATGTGGACGCCCATAACATAGGCGCTGACGCTGCAAAGAGCTGCGAGGCTGGCGGTGGTGCTGACCTTGGTGAGGTGACGATGGAACAAGTAATTGGTTGTCAACTGGATGTAGAGGATGACACCATGGAGGATAGTGATGTAGAAATGTCTGTGCAGAGGGCAACTCCACCCTCTTCAGTAAGGTATGATAGAAAGGGTAGGGGTAGTATGAAGGCTGCGGGTGTGAAGGCTATGGGTGTGAAGGCTGGTTCTGTAACCAGTCATATGAAGAAGCGTAAAAAATTTACTCAGAGTATTGATCTGGAACGTATGAAGGACTACGCCGCTAAATTAAAAGTCTCTGAAAAAATTGAGCAGGTTGTTGCCTTTGAAGTTTACCGTGACCAAGGCCCCGAAGAGTCACCGAAACGTAGCGAGGACACAGTACAACCGGTGAGTGAGGATCATGGTAGAGAGAACAGTGATAAGACATGGTGGGATCTTGTGGAACATGAACAGAATCGAGACGCGAGTGCAAATATTAAACTTAGATTTCGAAAAGGGAAAGATGACACTAAGATAGTGTCAAGTGAGATAATGATGGATAACGAGTAATCTTGGTTTCTCTCAAAATTACATTCGGGAAGCCTATTAATTTTAATTGTGCTACTTTGAACATTAATGGGCTCAATTGTAGAAATAAACAGTTGCAGCTGTTATCATTGTTTAAATATCATAATTTGGATGTACTTTTAGTGCAAGAACACAATGTTCAAGATGTTAAGAAACTTGATGTGCTGCTTGATTTCTTTGAAATATTGATAAATCCAACGACCTTGTTGAAAGGTGGTACGATGATATTGATTGCTAAGCGAGCCCACATCAAGGTTCTTAATAATGAAATGGATGATAATGGTAATGTTTTATATGAGAGGATTTCCTTTTTTGCCACAATAATTCCTGTACTTAATGTGTATGCTCCCTCTGGCACCCGCAGGAAGAAAGAGAGGGAGGACTTGTTCTCTAACGAGTTATTATATTTTTTCAGAAATGATACGCGTAACGTTATTTTTGGTGGCGACTTTAATTGTGTCACTTCTATGAGAGATTGTAGCATTCAGTCGAACGCATGTGTATCTCCTGCTTTAATTACACTTTTGAAATGTATTGGTCTCAAGGATGCAAATAGCATTCACGGAGGTGTATATGAATACACATATGTTCGCCAGAATTATGGTTCAAGGCTTGACAGAATATATATGCACTCGTTAGATGATAAAATTAGTTCTTGCAGTATTGTTCCAATCAGCTTTTCAGATCACTGTATGGTTGTGGTGAAGCTTGTTATTGACGATCAGGTTAAAGTGGGGACAGGGTCATGGAAGCTCAATTGCAGTCTGTTGCAGAGTAGAGATGTAATTGATAATTTTCAAGTATTGTGGGAACATCTGGTTGGGCAAA